GCAAAGTATTTGGCGCCCCCGCCAAAAAGTGTGAACCAGAGTGTGAACCGGGGCCCCAAAAGCGTGATTGGCGCCCGAGTTTACTGTGAAACGCGCGAGGCGCCCGCCGAAAACTGTGAATCGACGGTTAGGCGCGCAAAGTCTTTGGGCGCCTACGCCCGCGCGCGCGCGGGCACCTGCCTTATTTGGGGCGTGAACCGTGTGGCGCGGTTCACGCGGTTCACAACACTTTGCGTGGGACCTCAAATGCGAAGCCACCGTGGGAGTCTCACGCTGTCACGCCACCCGGGTTGGCATATATAGGAAGGGCGTCTCCGCGTTTCCGCTTCCCCACACCCCCTCTCTCCCAACCACCCCTCCCACACTTTGTGAACTCAAACCCATCTACAAGCTTTATCTGCACTTTTCTCCACTTAGTCCGCATCAACATGTTCGAGCTGAGCGAAGAACTTCAAGCCAAGAGTGAGTGCTGCCAGTCTTTTGCGTTGTCTATCACAGTCACGAGCGTTGACCCTCGAATTCGTAGAAATTATCGACTTTACCGAGGCCGAGCTGGTCGAGGCTCGCTTCATGGGCGATGGCGAGTCCCTTGGTCATTGCGCACGCCTATCGCTCACTTATCGTTCGCCCTTTTAGGTGTGCCCGAGTCTGTCAGGTATATGGTCCAAAAGATCAAGGAGCACCCCGAGTCCTTGGGCTGTGAGTCTCTCGATTTGCTTCCGGTATCATGACATTTACCACTTTGTGCCTTAGTCGTGACGGGCTTCATGCTGGGCTGTTTCCAGACGGCGGCGCCAAAGGACGGTACCAAGGCGCCTGACTCTCCCGCCCTGAGCGATGCCAGTAACCTCTTCACTCGAGTCAGCGTCGCGTCGGATGCTCTTACGCTCGTCGGCTCCAACGTCATGACGCAGTTCGAAATGGCCAACTACTACCACGGTCTCCTCGAGGACGACAACGAGATCCCTCAGCCTTACTACCGCTCCAATATGGCGGAGGCTCCCTTCGCGCTGCCTAAAGCCGGCAACCCATGGTTCAAGGTGCCCGTCAAGAACGTTGAAGCAGTCTTTGACGAGGTGCTCACGCCGGAGCTCTGGGCTGTCGTTGCTGTCGACGTCATTGCAGTCTTCAAGCGCCGCGGCATCCGCTACTCCTCCCTCAAGATGGCGCGGTTCTCTACCCCTGACGAGGCCACCGGCAAGAGGGCTCTTGGCCCGATCGTCGTCTGGATCGCCACGCATCCCGACACTACCGGTCCTGCCCAGGCCCAAGAGGCGTCCCCCGAGATCCTCGACGTCTTCAAGGGCCATGGTGTCCTCGGTGTTGTAGCCGAATGGTACGAGGGCACCGTCGAGAGGCTCGATGGTCCGCGCCTCATGGACACCGTCGACGAGACGAACCCGACCTACAGATACCGTCACCCGTACACTGCCGCTCTCTCCTTGCCCGTCGCTCCCAAGATCAAGTCGAGAGACGATGGCCAGGGCACTGTCGGCCTCTTCTTCCACGAAAACCGCGACAAGAACGGCCAGCCTAGTCCGCATGTTCTCGCCCTCACCAACAAGCATGTCCTCAGCGCCGATTTCGATGCGGACTACGAGTTCCGCGGCGCTGGCGCCCCTCGCGAGTACGTTTGACTCATGGGCGATCGTCGTTACCTCCAATCCGTCGAGGAGACCAGAGCCGCCATCGCCGTGTTCCTGAAGGAGGCCGCCCGCTTGGCTGACGAAGTCAAGCGATTGAAGGCGGAGCCCAAGAGCACAGACGCGGAGAAGGCGCTCGACGACGAGGACGCCTTGGAGGAGAAGAAAGCGGCGTTGCAGAAGATGGACAGGAGGAACACCAGGCTCCAGGTGTTCTACAAGGAAATCAGTACCCAGTGGAAGGATCCCGAGCTCCGCAACATCGGCTACACCGACTACGCCCCCTCCATTTCCGCCCGCGTCGATGAAACGCGCTACACTCGCGACATCGGCACGATCCGGCTTGATCCCAGGAAGTTCGAGGACTTCTTCAGGGGTAACCTTGTCGACTTGGGTGCGTGTTTTTTGTTTCTTTCTTCTCGTGACTCTGGTGGATGTCTATCCCGTTCTAACAAAAAGAAAGAAAACTTTTAGGAGACAAATATGCTTCGCACCAACTCGACGATCTGTTCTGGCCTAACGATACCCAGCCGGCGTCTCGTCCCAAGTTCCCGACCAACGGCTTGCTCAGAATCCGCGGTGTTGTCCCGCCCGAGGAGATGGCGAAGCCCGAGTGCTATGATGAGTCCGACAACCCCATTTTCGTCGTCGGCAAGGTCGGCCAAACGACCGGCTTCAGGCTGGCACGCTTTTCCGCACTCAATGCCTACACCTGCACTCTTTCTGGAGTCGAGTCTACCGAGATGCTCTTTTACAACCTCAACAAGTCGTCCGGCGACTTCTCCGCCAAAGGCGACTCTGGCTCCCTCATCTTCTCCGGCGATCGTCGCATGGTCGCTCTCCTTCACTCTGGCGAGGTCAAAGGCTTCAACAGCCTCGTCACGTACGGCTCGCCTATGGGGTGGGTCCTCGAGCAACTCAAAGTCAAGTATCCGTTCGCCAACTTTAACGGCGAGACCTTCCACATCGCCGCCTAAACGCGGACGCAACCGTCACTCCACTCCCCCTCCACTGTCTTTTCTTCTTCTCGTCTTCCCGTCACTGTCTTTCATCTACTCCTTGCTCGTTGGTCCAGACGCGTGTCGTCCCCGTTGATCGGTCGTGAACGTTTGTCCCTTTCATTTTTATCCGCTTGTTCGCTGACTGTCTGTGGCTTGGTGACGTGACACCTTGTTACGCTCCTACGGCCGATCTGCACACTTCGTCTTTTGTTCCTTCGACTTCGTCTCGGTTTCTCTGCGATCTTTATTTACCAGCTTGTTGTCGTCGTCACGACGGATGTCTTCACTCGATGAATCGTTGCCTTGGTTCGTTGTCCACCTTCAGTTTCGTACGCGTGACTAACGAACCCCTGACGTCTAGGCACTGGGCCGCGGACGTTTTACTCAGGTATGTCTCGTCCTCTTTCCGCTTCTCAGGACTTTAAAACTGACGGTCCCGTTAGCGATTTAGGTGTTCGGTTCTTAGATATCTGTCGTCGGTCATCGTTAGCTTCCGATTATGTGAACTCCCCCCACTCCCCACCACTCCCCATCCCCGCTCAGTATGAACGTTTTTGCCTCTTTTTTTTGACTCGTCCTTTACTTTCCAGCCCTCGCCTTTTGCGCCTTTTCCCAACCATATAAAAACACCAAAAACATGTTACGACCCCGCTTTCTTTCAAACGCCACTTTTTCTTTATTTCACCTCATTCCCACTCGTGGACTTCGCACTCGATGTACGTTCTTCACCCATATCACCTTCACCCCCCCCCCCCGGGGGGCCCCACCGTCTACGTTATTATTTACCTTGAAATGAACATTACCCGTGTTGTGTTTCTACGTTATACGCCGCTCGATCAGTAAGCTGAACTGTTTAATGGTACGGTTAGGTATGGCCGGTTCGTACCCATTTTAGTTAGTCACCACCCACACTCACTCACCTACCAACGCGAACTCTGGCACGCCCTTGAGTCTGTGCTCTCGACAGGTTTGACTTACAGCTGTTTGCATAAATAATGGCAGTGATGTGCGCGAGAAGTATGTAGTGGTCTGTTTGGACTTAGCCAAATCATGTTGTTGCCCTTGTCGCACACTGGCTTCCTTCAGTCATCTTGCTGCCTTACTTCAGTTTTCTGTATCCTACATATCTTGAGATAGCAAATCTCTGTTGCAGGCAGCAACTCTCATACTCTAAGTGTCATTTCATCGAAAACAGCTCCGACTTTCAAGAGGATCCACTCATCACTGAAGCTCTACAACCAACATCTTTGTGTGCAAAATGGTGAAACCACTAGCACTCAAGCAATACAAATAGATGATGATCACCATACCAATGCAAAGTTATCCAGTGCAGAAGAGCAGCCATCTGAAAAGCCTGTAAAGGCTTCAAAATCTAGTTGCTCACAGAAATGTGTACACATGATCATTTATCTTTCAGGTGCCACATTGCCTTTTGCTTAGCAGCTATGGCAACCAAGAACAAGCAAGACAACAAGTTGCCTGCTTCTGCTATCATAACGTACAACCTGACAATGCTTACTGTGAAAGAGATGATGAAGAATGTGAGGCTGCAGGAGGAAAAGCATGCATATATGAAGCTGAGCACCACAAAGAAATTTGGTACATGGAAAGCACAGCTTTTAGTGTGCATTGATACCATCTTGCAGCTGAGAACAATACCGTTTTAAGACTACGACATGTTTTTCACAATCAAATGTATCTTATCAAAGCCACTAGCCCTTGTATCTGAAGAGGATCACAAAGAGATGTTGACTCATGCACAGAAGACCAAGGAGCCCGATGTGTTCATCCATGTGCATGCTATATCAGAAGCAAGGAAGGTAAGTTGTGATTTTATAATATCTATTTATAATGCTTTATAGTGAGGCTTGACATATGGAAATGCCCATGCTTCCATGAGAAACAGAGTACAGATGAAGAAAGAGAACAAGGATAGATTGATATACTCAATAGATGAAAGTGAATGCTCTGATGATAATGACAACAGCAAGAAGAAGAAGAAGAAAGCAAAGATGAAGGTTTGTCTGTGTGCTCTTTCTCATGTCTATTCAAACACTGATTTTGCATCATAGACTCTGAAAGCTTCAAATATCAATGTCATAAACATGCCCATCAATGACAACATTCATGTCACAAACCAGGCTGTAGGAGCTCCTGATGCTTCTCTGACTCTGAGGATGGCACACACTTGGAGCTTGGCAATGCACACTTTGAGGTATGGGCAGCTGTGATGGTAAATAATGTCTGGGACAAACCATTCATATAATGGAAGCACTGACATACAGTAGCTCAAAGAAAATGACTTCACCACTGCTGATAAGTCTCCCAACAGCCATTTATTCAACACTGTTTTCACTAAAGCTCTTGGTCAAATATCACGCATACTTAAATGATGCTTAATGTCACAGTTTTCTACATATTTTACATTTTCTCATGCCACATGTCCTCACATGATGTATTTCTCATCACGTGCACCTCTGATCCCTTTTTCATTATGTGACATTTCACATGCCACAAGTCACATGACCACTTTATCATGCCACATGGCATGTGACTAATTACTATACCGTAAGGATCAGGTGATAGTTCACACAATCTAGATCTATGGATGACTAGACTGGACTAGTCTATTTCAGGATATAATAGGGTTGCCTAAAAGGAAACAATGGGAACAAGGTTCTTACTGTGCATCGGCCTTCCATTTTCCTGTTAGTTTAGCCTTAGACAGATTTAGCATAATGTTCTCATGTAGGGTTGAGGGTTTCATTGATCTACCTACACTAGTTTACTTTAGGATAGATTCGCTCTCATGCTCTGAGTCAGCACACGGCCTCTTACATTGAGCCAATTATCAAATGCTGTAGTAGTGGTACGACATATTATTGTAGTGCTTTCCATACGTGTATATAAGATCACCCATGTAGAGGAAAAGACTCAGATGCTTCTCCTCATCTACCACCCCACTACTCACTGGCCTAAACAGCCCAATATATATCTTCACAAGCATTAACTGGCAGCACTCGACATCAGTGAGTAAGCCACCCCTTTTGTGGTGTAATTCCAGCTCTTCCCTCAGTGTCACTTCATTGCATGCCCCTTTTTTTATTTTCTTTTATCTTTGGCTTAGAGCTGTGACACTTGAAATTAATTAATGAAACCCACAGTGCTAGCAGCCATATCCACATCATCAACAGTAAATTTCAATCTTTCACCTGAGCTCTTCACTGTCTTTCAGTTATGATCATTCTCTATGAATCTGTCATCACCAGCCATTCTTACTCCTGTCTTTTGTGCTCTAGCAATGCTTATAGCTTCTGATCGCTTGCCTGGCCTGGAGATACCTACAAAAGAGTTCTGCACAACATACTCACTTACCAGTGATGTCAAGACCCATCTACTTGAGAATGGCTACTGCAGCATGCATACATTCAAATATATTGAATTGAAAAAGCTTGAACAGATGGAGTTCAAGAAGGGTGAGATTGCACAAGTACATGCTGTCATCACAAAGTGATCAATTCCTGTTGCAAAATAAATTTCCTGTCATGTCATGTCTAAACATCAAGCATTGTAATGAGAAGTAATCTGCATGTTGTATGTAGCCTTATGCATCAGATGCTGTAATTACATTTATTGCTTTATACATATCATATACAATACTGCCTGATTCCTCAGATGTGAAGACATCTGCATTGCGACGAATGAATTTTTTGACTTTTGAGAATGCTTCTTTAATTGAGTTGAGATCTGGCAAGTATGGAGGCAAATAAAGAAGTCGTACTCCTGCCACAGTATATGTATGAGCTAAAATCACATTGACAGTAAACAGAATGTCACCTGCTTATTCTACAAGCTCTAAAATCTCATCACCATAATGTATGCATGCATTATCCATTATCAGCATACTGAGCTTCCCTGGGTATGGTGAGCAAAGAGAAAGCTATAAGCTGAATCATTAGTGTCAATTATAATATACAGTGAGCCACAAAACTGTTGCAATGTTTGCAACAGTTGCATTGTTTGGCTTATATCTCAGGAAGCAAAATAGCTAAAAATGCAAGTATTTATATTGTTAAAAGGCCTATGATATGAGCTTTCAAATGGCATTTAAATTAAGTAAATTGGCCTGCTTGTTGGTGAGATATGAGACATTCTTTATAAAAAGTGCATTGCAACAGTTTTGTGGCTGATAACTCTGAAAACAAAAATACCCCCCTTGCAGAAGTTTGTTTGCTTTAAGGTTTAAAGTTTTGATCATGTGATCTTTGTTGAACTTCAACATGAGTTGATCAACATCAAACAGACTGTTCAACTTCAATACAACCATCATGAAGAAGGTTTCTGCTACTCAGACTGCCCACATCCTCTCCCTGCTTGATCAAGGCCATTTTGTCAGACAGATTGCTCATCTGACTGCAGTTCGTTACTCTGCTATATCCAGAATTTGCTCTATGCATCATCCTAACATGCTCACATCTGATAAAGGTCATTCTGACAAGCTTAATCATGGAATCATTCACCATGCTACTCACCTTCTTACCATTGGACAGGCAGATACTGCTGTTGAAGTTACCAAACTTCTTTAAGGTGTTGTCAACCAGCCCTTTCATGTGAATACTATGCATAGAAAGCCTAAAAGCACTCGTCTGAAGGCTGTGATAAAGCATAAACATCCCCTTCTCTCTAAGAATCATAAGGGAGAAAGTATTATGAAGTGTTCCCAGTGAACCTTTCTAATCACATGTGCTTTCTCACAGGTATTAGTCCACATGCTGGTAGATGGAGACAAAGGTAGAGATATTATACCAAGTTTTTAACAGCCAACCTGACTATAAGCACTCACTCTGTGGTTTTAGTGTTGCCTTGACCTAGTAACGCAATAGCAGTAAGGTGCTATCACTCTACCCTTGCTAGGTCTTCAGTGAGAAGCTACTGCCATTCACCTAATGGCTACTTGGTTTGCTTAAACTGGCTCTAGTCAAGTGCATGAGCTAGAATAACTCTTGAAAGTGAGTGCAGATTCCTTCTAATCCCAGATCAGAAGTATTGGGTGATGAGTTCTTAGAACGAGAAAGGTTCTTGAAAATGAAGCAGATCACAGAAGGAAGAAGTTGTCTTCTCCTGCTGATCTGTGCTCCTTATTATATAGTACCGGACTATAGTCTGGGGTGCTCATACAAAGGGGTCTTTGTGCTACTATGAATAAGTAAACTCTAAGTAAACCATAACCAGAGACCATGTGCCGACTGCTGCAAGCCAGATACACCAGGGGCATGGGTCTGTGATTCCACCAGAAACATCATTAACACAACGTGATTACAGTCACAATGATGTGACTAATGTTTTCATGGGACTTATGGTGATAATAGTTTGAATATTGCTGAAATGACATCCAGATAATTCCTGTGTGATTTAGCGAGAGAGTTGCTGGTTACATTTTGAATTAATTTAGCTTTCTCATTTGTGAAAATTCCGGTAGCATTTTAGATGTTTCCACCGATAAAAAATGATTGAATTAAGTGGAAATCATCACTGCCTCATTATTGACTGCATCACTGTGTGCCCAAAATGTTTCTCAATATATCATTTGGACCATATGATATTTTAATTGATTGTGTTTCCTGCAGAAACATTGGAGATGATTTGTCAATGCAGTCTACATGTGCCCATGGTAAAAAGGGCATGTGCAGCTTGTACACAATCAGGAAAAACATTGCTTGCTTTGCAAAGGCATTGGAAAAACATTGATAATGTCTTTAGAATGCTGCCACCATGATTCCTGGATGAAATCAGGATGTTTTCTGGGTGGCTGCTGCATGTGTTTAAAATGTTTCCTCCTGGAAACAGATGATCGGGCCAGTCAAAACTGGTCTTGGCATAATATTTTTAAAATTTAGTTTGGTATCCACCGGGGGGCATGGGTCTATGATTCTGCCTGAAACATTTTGGACACATTGTAATAACAGTCCAAATAATTATGCAATGTTTTTAGCGCATACATTTTGAAATCATTTTGAATGTTTTAAACTGTTTGTGGCATCAACATTGCAGCACAATTTTGATAGCATTCATAAAGATGCAAGAATGAGACCCCAATGCTGCAGATGACAGCATTCAAGCATTATTGCAATAGCATCCTAAATGTTTTTTTGAGAGAAAATATCAAATGATACCTGTGAGTGGCCATGATGTCTTCAAGATGTTTTCAATGGGTTCATTGTGATTGCATAATTGGAATTACTATATATAGTAATGTGCTAACCATATTAGGACATCCCTGATGCATTCAAGATGATTCCAGCTGAAACATAATGGAAAGCATCTGGTACTCGTCGTAACATCACGTTGATCACATTTGTAATGTATCCTTAAGATCCATTCAAAATGATACCAACATATAATATGAATGCTGGCCAAATCAAAATTGTTGTCTCATCCTGGTGTCTTTCTGAATAATATCACTGTTATTCCACAATGAGCTTACTCAAAATAATTCAATCTATTCCATGATGTTTACATCAGTAATATTAGAGTTACATTGTGACTGTTATCGTGATGTGTCCAAAATGTTCCTGGCAAAATCATGGGCTCATGCCCCCTGTGATCATGTCTCACCCATAATTGTTCAATAAGTAATGTTTTATCTTTATAACAAATGATATGCCACATTTTAAAATGCAATATTCACAACATATTGTATCCAGACTAAGATGTCAGCTCTGAAGAGCACATGCAAAGTACAGTGCAGCCTTCACCCACCCATCTGTGATCCCTCCTGTTTCTATATTCATCACTTTGGAACCTACCATTGTATCACTCACCTTCCACATCACCTCCATCCACGCAAAGACACTGCACTCCTATGTCCTGTCCCACCTCCAAAATGCCCCCAAACCCATTTTTGCTGCATTTACGACATTTTTCATTGAGCTCATTCCACCTTTGTGGCTTCATTGTGTGCGCTGCCACAAGGACTATGTGGAGGTCAAGAACAACAACAGGAGTTGTCTGGTGTCACATGATGACAAGAGTGCTGAGGTCAAGCACATTAGAAGGATTGCGAGAAGTGGCAGGCTTATGATCGATCCTGGAACAACATATGAGATGCTGTGGAGATGCTGCGGTAAACTCACCGAGGGAGACAGGGACCAGGGACCACTTGATGGCTTATGCTATGAGCGCAAGCATATGGTGTGTACTCTAATCTTTCCTCATATTTCTTCACAACATTTTGATCATCTCCTGCTGCAAACTAACATAAAGTGTGCCCACTTCCACACTGACTCGACTCCCCAAGATGACAAGCTCACCTTGTGCATCTGGCTTAATTGCCATGATGTCCACAACCAGCTCCCGTGCACGAACCTGCATAAGCAAAAGTGCAGCGTAAACCTCCGGAAGCCCAGCATCGATAAAGATGTGAGTGAAGGCAAACCTGATAGTGGGGCAGACTATGCAAAGAGCAAAGAAAAGACGGCAAGCAAGGGCAAGGGCAAGGCAAAGGTGAAGGCCGCTGCTACAGAGGATGAGCATATGGACGTGGATGTCATGGCACATCGATGGCTGCAAGGTGCTAGCCATGCTCATGACCTGCACAAAAATATAAAAAGGGGCTTTGCCACAAAGGGCTTGGCCAATCGGCGTACAGTGACACGCAGCCTGCCAGAAAGGGGCTCAAAGGGCCCTTAGCCTTATATCACACAAGGAAAAGGGGAATGGCCTGCTAGGCCACATGCAATAGATGAATGAAACTGGGGATACCCAGCTTTCCATAGGTGTTTATATACATGTAGGGCAGGGCCCCTGGCACTGTGCTACTATGAGACCTCTGTTACCTACATGTGAACATATTGCCAGATCCAGTAATGGTCTGGTCTTTCCCAGGACAACAACTACCTACAAATGGCCGTGGTAAGTCCAATGAGATAATTGCTAAAAGTGGTGCCACTTGTTAAATGGCCAATGGGATTATGCTATATAGCATATTCAAATACTGGTGCTACCATTGGGTAGCCATTGTTGGGTGCTGCATCCCACCAGGTGGCAATCTTAGTCCTTTAGGCTGAACCTTTACCTGGTCACGTGACTGGGTGACTGAATTATGGGCGCTTGGTGGTCAGGTGGTAGACACAGCCACATCTGCGATGTATGTGGTGGTATTGTGCTGTTTGTCCAAATAACCACATCATTAGACCAATATCAAGGTGGCGCTCACATAACCACTTATAGGTTGCTGAATAAGGACTTAAAGATGCGAAAATAAATTGTCGTGTCAAATACTGTGACAATGGACCAACGTGAGTACGAGGATACCAAAAACATCAGCATCAGTGCACATGAAAATACCCCAGCTGCCCAGGGCCTCCATCACTTCCACCGCTCAAACCAATGCCAGAGCCACTGCTTCCAAGTGCAAGGGTCACCTGTCCAAGCTGGCACAGCATGTGGAGACAATGGATGCAGGTGCTCATAAAGTGATCATGTATGCAGTTCACATACTGCCTGGTGGTCTACGCTCCTTTGCAACACCTGGGTTTGGCAAGAAGAAATTCACACCGCTCCAAATAAAAATAGCTGCAAACAACAGCATCCTCATCATTAACGTCTGTTCTGATGAATCCCTCTCTGCCAAGCCTCCGACCGCCCATGCCCGAACAGTTATCATTTAAGTCCTCATCTGATGCTGAGAATGCACTGGCTTCAGATCCAAAGCACCTCAAGGTGAAGTCGCAGCTTCAGAAGGATAACGAGCAGCATTGCCATAAGGGATAAGGGAAATGTGAGGAGGTTTCCTCTCAAATTACAAATTTACATGGAGATGGAAACTGAGTCCTCTCCAGTCAAATTAATCCTATATACAACTGTCTTGCCTGCTAACGGATTCACCCATATGACCTTGATGCCCTTCTTGCCATCAGATCATTTGAACTTGTTTTCGGTGTGTGCTTTCAGACATTATATACATTGGTGTTTCAGTCATCATATGGCCCTCTGACACTACAACAAGATAATCACCTATTTTATGAGGCCTACAATGGCCATCACCTCCTCTTATGCATGATAAGGCTAGGGGCCCTTTGAGCCACTTTTTACCTCATATCATCATACACCACAGGCAATGAGTTATAGGATGCAGGCAGCATCTTGCTGCCAGTCCCTTGCCTTCAGGCAGGGATCACAATGTGCTATGACATTTAATTAGCACTCCTTACCTGCCTTCAGCAATGAGTGGACCATAGGGGTGACCTTGAGATTCTATGCAGATCAGGTGCATTTACAGCCAGAGTACCCAATGTGGGACTGGCTTTTTGGACCTAGGGTTTTTTCCACACCATTTCCTATCCTTCCACTGATGTCTACCTCACCGTTAGCCACTTCCTGCCTTCAATAAGGTAACAGTGCAGGTAACGCTTCCTTCGCACCTCCATGAGGGTAAACAGCCAAAAAACTATGATGTTTCTAAGGAGCCTGAGAGGGGGGGGGTACTACATAGTGGATTAGTATGCTAGTAGACTGGTAACCTACATAGTGAATATATGAAGTATCACCCAATGCGAAAGGCACACCAATACATAAAATAATAAAGCATTATTATAAGTATTTGAGAAGCACAAACCATTCGCATACACATTACCACTATATGCAAGCCCTAAAAAGGCAATTTTCCATGACCTATAAAGGCAACTTGCATATCATAATAGGCAGTTCCCATTACTGGTGAAATATAAGACCTTGTGCACGGCATTCTACATACAAGATATGAGACCTCAGCATGTACATAAATGGTTTGGTCAACCACCATATATACTACACCTACGAAACACTTCCTGGGATAACAAGTCTAGAACAAACATTACAAGGTAATAATTTGTTGACAGCATCCAAGCGCACGATAGTCTATGTGACTATTAACTGCAAACGGAATTAAGACCCAACAAAATATTTACAAGGATACCCAGAAAAAGATTTCAACAAAAGGGCAAATAGCACTACACCAGAATGGGGGGACCCACTGCCATTGATCAGTCTCAGATTCACCTCAAGGCCACTGTCACGGCGCATTGTGATCCCTACCCGAAGGTGAGGGACTGGCATCAGGTGATGCCTGCGTCCTGTGACCCATCACCTGTGGTGGATGGTATTATGAAGCAAAAGGGGGCTCAAAGGGCCCCTAGCCTTATCACACATAGAAATGAGGGTGATGGCCGTTGTAGGCCTCATAAGATAGGTGAATAGAACTGGGGATACCCAGTTCCTCATAGGTATATATATACATGTAGTTAGGACCCCTGGCACATATGCTACTGTGAGACCTCTGGTACCTACATGTGAACATAATGCCAGAACCAGTAATGGTTCTGGTCTCGCCATGACAACTATCTACAAATGGCCGTGAGATAACCAATGAGATAATTATATAACATGGTGCCACTTTGTGAGCGGCTGAAGTGGTGTCACTATTGAGTGACCCAATGGTGTTGGTCCTATTGGATGTAGCCAACAGGGTAGACGGTCTGCTATCCGTCATATAGCGATTATAGCCTAAAGGTATAAGCTCCTTATCTGGTCACGTGACCGGGTGGTCAGATCGGGCACTCCGGTGGTCCTGTGGTAGGCACTGTCAAGTGCACGAGGTATCTGGCATTAACTTGTGACAGATCCCAGTATCCACTTGAATAGGCCAATATGAAGGTGGGCGCTTCCGTATCCAGGTATCGGTTGACTTATGTAGGACTTGTGTCGTGAAAGTAAATATGTCTGGATAAAACCGTGACATTACCCCCCCTCAAGGCTCATCGTCCTGAGGAGCCATAGTAAACCTGAGTTTTATAGGCTTTGGGTGGTGTTGTAGCAAAAGTGTGTAACAGTTTAGTAGACATGTTTAGGTCTTTGGGCACTCAAAGCTGCCAATAAATGCCTTTATGCTTCTGATTCCTTATAGGTGATTGACTTATGGTTCAACTCGTTGTTGCCTTATATCTTCTCCCTTTGTAGAACCAGGCTTGTAGGCAAAACAGTTTTAACGACGTTATTTAGATCGCAATGCTTGCAGTTTAATGACTTGCACTCGGTCATATAAGTCTGCGACGGTGGTGCACCCGAGGCATTGCCACAGACTTGGTGGTGCTCAAAGCTGCCAAAATTTAAAAAGTTAACATTTTTAGGTCTTGTTATGACCCTTCGATACCATCCCATTAAGTATCGAATTTCTGTCTTCAGTCATGACCTCATGCTTCTGTGCTATGGCTGCCGTATTAGGGTTTTCTGCCTGGCAAATTTGGCCCCCCTCCAGAATCGAACCAACGCACAAACACATTTTACGCCGAAACTGGAAGGTTGCTTGCCAGGACTTTTATCCTCTAAGCCACTTGAGCGGCTGAGATTCTTGGTTCGAAACTCAATATGTATCCGCTTTTATTACATAATCTATATTTATGTAATCATGTGGCAAAGAGAGGTGGTGTGGGAAGGTAGCGTAGGAGGTATGTCGAAAAAGTGAACAGTTTAATGACATGTTAAGGTCCATTGGTTTGTGCCTTATAACGCACCAGTGGCTTAGTGGCAATTAAGCCAGGGGGTTTGGATTTAGACGCCGGTTGGCATACCGGGCACTGGTTCGAATCCCACTTAGTGCGTTTAAAGTTGAGGTATTTCATAATCGGAGACGAGCTTCAGCTCAGAGTTGATGGCCGAGGAAGGGTGAAAGGGGTCCCCGCGTATCTCAACTTTTGCCTCCATGGTAATGTGTCACGTGCATGAATAATTGAAGGGATGATGCATTTTTTAATTTGATCGATTGATCGTGATCGAATAAGATAGACCTTTTGATCGATCCTGATTGAGTGTGATCCGTGATCGCCTTGATCTGTGATCCATTGAATGACATCATACATTGGCACTCATAAGCTGCCTAGTGGTGCAGTTTCACTGACATGCCCAGGTCCATGATGGCGCTCAAAGCTGCCTAGTTATTCCTGGCTGCTCTCGGTCTAAGAGTCTGATGCTTCATTGCAAGTTTTCTGCACAGTAATTGTGAGAAATTGCCAGATGTTGTAATCTTATTGCCAGAAGAGGTATCACCAACTCCTTTTGTGGTCTTGTAGTGTAAAGTAAATGTCAAGTCGCCATTTCTTTGTGTTAGAAAATGGTGCTTTGATGCAATGGGTTTTCCAGGCCCTTGCTGGTAGCAATAGTCTCTTTTTGCTCTATATTGACATTACTTTTTTGGCGAAAAATTGCTGCGCTGCGCTTTACTTGTTTAATTAGGGCTTGGCTTTGCCAGCCCTTCGGGGATGGGGACGGGGATGGACGTCGCTTCGTCAATGCCACTGGAAAGGACCCACAGACTACGTTGCAGGTCTCCATTGGACAGTTCCTTGCTTGTGTGTTGCACGTTGCCTACACACGTTGTAGCCCTTCATTTCCCTCTGGGCTATATCCCCTCTTACCCACCCCTCTGCTGGCCTCGTCCTGAGTGCCAAGCGCATAGCCTGAACTGTGCCCCGGGTGCGAAGTGCACAGCTAAAATAATAAGAATTGTGGTGCACAAAATAAGGGAGGGTGGGTGAGAGTAAAATTTTCATTCTACCAAGTTGGAATTAATGTGGTAAATGAAGTCCATTTGACAGAAATCACAGTGTATGCGCTGTTTTTGATGTGATTCTGAGACTAATCAATGGCAGTGGGTTCCCCCCGTCCTGGTGCTATTCTCCCTTTTGGTGAAATCTTTTTCTGGGTGTCCTTGTAAATTATTTGTTGGGTCTTAATTCCGCCCACAGTTAATAGTCGCGTAGATCATCGTGCACTTGGATGCCGTCAACAAATTATTACTTTGTAATTTTTGTTCTAGACTTGTTATCCCAGGAAGTGTTTCGTAGGTGTAGTAATAATGGTGGTTGACCAAACCATCCATGTATGTGCTGAGGTCTCACATCTTGTATGTAGAACGTCGTGCACAAGGTCTTATGTTTCACCAGTAATGGGAACTGCCTGTTTTTTGGTATGCAAGTGTCCTTTATAGGTCGTGTGAATTTGCCTTTTTAGGGCTTGCATGGTAGTGGTAATATATATGTATATGCGAATGATTTGCGCTGTCCAAATACTTGTAATAATGCTTTATTATTTTATATATTGGTGTGCCTTTCGCATTTTCGCATTTTGTATATTCGCTATGTAGGATACCAGTCTACTTAGCGTACTAATTGTGTATATATTACCCACCCCTCTGACTCCTTAGAAACATCGTAGTTTCTTGGCTGTTCGCCCTCATGGAGGTGCGAAGGAAGCGTTACCTGCACTGTTACCTTATTGAAGGCAGGGAGCGGCTTATGGTGAGGTAGAAGTTGATGATGGGGAACAATGTGGAAAAAGGTGTGCCCTACACCTGAATTTCTTGGGCATGAAAATACCAGTCCCGCATTGGGTACTCTGGCAATCAAATGGACAGTTTTTATGGACATTGTCTAGGTCCAAAAAGCCAGTCCCTCAAAGGGTACTTTGGCTGTAAATGCGCCTGGTCCGCATAGGATCCCAAGATCGCCCTGCCAGCAGCACATTGCTGAGGGCAGTATAGAGTTCTATTCAAATGTCACGGCACATTGTGATCCCTACCCGAAGGTGAGGGACTGGCATCAGGTGATGCCTGCGTCCTGTGACCCATCACCTGTGG